TGGGTTCTCTCCCCAGCTTGGGGAGGGGAGTGGGGTCTAATGGGTTAGAGCCAGGACTCCTGGGTTCTCTCCCCAGCTTGGGGAGGGGAGTGGGGTCTAATGGGTTAGAGCCAGGACTCCTGGGTTCTTTCCCCTGCTCTGGGAGCCCCAGGGGAGTGGGATCTAGTGGGTTAGAGCAGGGGGAGCTGGGAGCCAGGACTCCTGGGTTCTGTGCGCTGCTCGGAGAGTGGGGTCTGGTGGGTTAGAGCGGGGGGCGCTGGCCTGTGATCCCCCACCCTCACCTCCAGCCTGTTTGCTGCCCTGTAGGAGGAGCTGTCCTCAGCCATAGCCCAGCTGGAGTCTAGCCTCGCTGGGGTCCTGAAGCTGAAGACGGAGAAGGAAGAGAGGATTTGGAACCACCAGGTACCCGGGGCTGGGTGGATCGAGGAAGGGTGGGATCCCTGACTCCCCCCACCTGAGGGACTCTGGGGAGGAGGCAGGCAGCCCTCTGGGGGACAGCAGGGCTGAGTGGGTTAGGGTGACCAGAGAGCAAGTTTGAAAAATCAGGACAGGGGGTGGGGGGGGTGACAGTGCTGCCCATGGGAGCCAGCTGAGGTCACTCAATTAGGGTGAACTGCAAACAAAATGGGGCAGACAAACCCCAAAAGCTGGTGGTTAGTCCAATACTTAGATTTACCAACCAGCACAAAACAGCTTCCGTATTACCTCACTGGTTACTCAGAGTCCAACCAACGCAGTTCCCTTAAAGTGCCCAGCGTACGGCCTCCGTCCAGACACACCTGTCAGATATGATGATGATTAATGAAAATCTTATCTCATCATATAAAAGAAAAGGTTCTTCCAACCCCAAAGGATCAGCCACACACCCAGGTTCAATGATAACTTAGATCTTATCCAAAATACACGCTTAGAGCCAATTCTTATTAACTAAACTAAAATGTATTTAAAAAGAAAAGCGAGAGAGAGTTGGTTAAAATCTCAATATACAGACAGACTTGAATTCAATTCTTGAGGTTCAGACACAGCAGAGATGAGCTTGTAGTTGCCAAAAGTCCTTTTAGAAATAGTCCAGAGGTTATAGTCCAATGTCCATGTTCAGGGTGGCTCCAGTCAGTGACTGGGGATCTCAATTCTTGTGGCTTAAGGTTTCCCCCTCTTGAAACCCAAAGCAGATCTGAGATGAAGAAGGATCATGTCCCAGGGTCTTATACATTTCCAGCAGCCTTTCGGCCTGAGAAAACAATAGGCTTAACTCTCCTTCCAAACATCCTGGCAATTAGCACAGGGTCATTTATCCATTAAACAGTTCAGATACAGGTTACCACAACCTTCAAAGAGACATAGAGACAATAATACTATTTCACTCAAGTATCATTATAAATGTTAATATTCCTTTTTTGATCTTTGAATTAAAGTTATAGCAATAGACAAGACTTGTTTGCTTACATCACAAGCCTGAGCAAATATCTCCTCTTGAGATCTCTAACAATGCAGACTTGCATTTCAAAGCTCTAATCATTTACATATCTTCCTAACCAGTCCTTAAGGTTCACCCATGGGTCAGGTCAGTCTGAGTTAATTAACTCTTTCTGGCCCTGTCACCTTCCAATGAAATATTATATTACACTCATAACATCACAGGGGGTAATAGGCAGCTATGTAAGAAAAGCCCCGAGTATCGGGACTGTCCTATAAAATCAGGACATCTGGTCACCCTAGTAAGGATAGGGTTGGGGGTGGGGTACCTTGAGTCTTACCATAGCTGGGAGAGAATGTGAGGTACTTGGTGTATAGTGAAGTTAATTCCTGATTACCTGGGAGTATTAGCTATATGGAGATATTGGGTACCTGAGTACCTGGGGGTATTCACTATGCACACATGGTAGGTACCTGGGAGTATTAGCTATATGGAGATATTGACGTACCTGGGGGTATTCACTATGCACACATGGTAGATATCTGGGAGTATTAGCTATATGGAGATATTGGGTACCTGAGTACCTGGGGGTATTCACTATGCACAGATAGTAGGTACCTGGGAGTATTAGCTATATGGAGATATTGGGTACCCGAGTACCTGGGGGTATTCACTATGCACACATGGTAGGTACCTGGGAGTATTAGCTATATGAAGGTATTGAGTACCTGGGGGTATTCACTATGCACACATGGTAGATATCTGGGAGTATTAGCTATATGGAGATATTGGGTACCACAGATAGTAGGTACCTGGGAGTATTAGCTATATGAAGATATTGAGTACCTGGGGGTATTCATATGCACACATGGTAGATATCTGGGAGTATTTATGGAGGTATTGGGTACCTGAGTACCTGGGGGTATTCATATGCACACATGGTAGATATCTGGGAGTATTTATGGAGGTATTGGGTACCTGAGTACCTGGTGGTGTTCGCTATGCACAGATGGTAGATATCTGGGAGTATTAGCTATATGGAGATATTGAGTACCTGGGGGTATTCACTATGCACACATGGTAGATATCTGGGAGTATTAGCTATATGGAGATATTGAGTACCTGGGGGTATTCACTATGCACACGTGGTAGATATCTGGGAGTATTAGCTATATGGAGGTATTGGGTACCTGAGTAGCTGGTGGTGTTCGCTATGCACAGATACCTGGGAGTATTAGCTATACAAGGAAGCTAGTTACCACTAGCTATAGAAGGCTGCTGGGTACCAGGACATATTAGCTACAGAAATGCTGGGTATGTGGGAGTCTTCGGTCTGGGAAAATGCTGGATAGCTGGAAGTATTTGCCTTAGAAAGACACTAAGGACCTGGGAGCATTAGCTAGAGAAAGATCTTGGTACCCATGTGCCTGGCAGTATTAGCCACAGCAAGTCGTTAGGTACCTGGGAATATTAGCTCTAGAAAGTTGCTGGGTACTTGAGTAGCTGGAGCAATGCTAGGTACTGGGGCGTATTAGCTGTAGAAGGATGTCGGGGGGTATTAGCTCATGAAATGCTGAGTACCAGGGAGTATTAGCTGGACAGATGCTGCATCCCAGAGAGTATTAGCTATAGAAGGATACTGGGAGGTACCTGGGAGTATTAGCTCAAGGGATGCTGGGTCCCAGGGAGTATTAGCTAGAGTACCTGCAGTATTAGCTGGCGAGATGCTAGAGGGTACCTGGGGGTGTTTTCCAGGCGACGGTGCTCAGCCTGGAGGATCACATCTCCTCGGAGTTCGGGAAGCTGCGGGGCTGGCTGGCCACCCGGGAGGAGGAGTGGCAGGATCAGCTGCGGCGGGCGGGCAGAGCCCAGCTGCGTGCGATGCAGAGGAACCTGCAGGAGCTGGCGGGGAGATGCCAGGCAGCCCAGGAGATGCTCACCGAGGCCCAGGCCCGCCTGCCCCAGCAGAACACCATGGAGTTCCTGACAGTGAGTCCAGCGCCTCCTAGAGGGGAAAGGCCCTGTCTCCCTTTCCCTACACCTTTGAGCCAGCCAGTCCCCCACCATGGGGCCGGATGGGAGCCGGCGCCCCCTAGAGGGGAAAAGCCCCGTGTCCCGTTCCCCACCCCCCTGAGCCAGCCACTCCCAGCGCCCCACAGTGTCTTAAAGAGACAGAACTATACTAATTTCTTGTCTCTCTCTCTCCATGTCCGTCCCCTCACAGGACATAAAATCTTCCCTGGACTGGTAAGTCTGCCACTACAGAAGCAGCTTCATTCCCCCCACACCTCTATCCTCATTGCTCACTAACACACCCTATGGGGCGGGGGGCGGTTCTTCCCTCTTACATAGGATGAAACAGCAACCGGCTACCCCTTGTGGGACGAATACGGGGTCCCTATCACAGACTCTGGGGCAATTCAAAGGGCCGATCCAGTATACTGCCTGGAAGGACATGAAATCCATCCTCAACATAGGTAAGAGATGGGTTTCAGCAGGGGGCGCTCTCCCCTGGCAGCCAGTGCCAGCCCCAATGCCCCAGTGCGACACTAGGGGGCGCTGTGCTGCAAGGAGCAGGGGATCAGTAGGGGGCGCTCTCCCCTGGCAGTCAGGGCTGGACCCGGTGCCCCAGTGCGGCACTAGGGGGCGCTGTGCTGCAGGGAGTGGGGCGGGGGGTTCAACGGGGGGTTCCATGTTAAACCAACCCTGCCCCATACCCCGCTGCTCCTTTTCCCTCCCCAGATCTCCCCCGGGTGACGCTGGATCCCGCCACGGCTCATCCCTGCCTGGTTCTCTCGGAGGATCGCACCTGGGTCCGGGATGGCCCCCTTCGCCGGCCCCTCCCCGACACTCCTGCCCGCTTCGATTTCTGCGTGGCCGTGCTGGGCGCAGGGGCGTTCGCCTCTGGGAGGCGCTACTGGGAGGTGGAAGTCGGGGAGAAGCCGGCATGGACGCTGGGCGTGGTCCATGCCTCTGTCAGCCGCAAAGGGAAGATCCATGCCTCCCCCAGCAAGGGATTCTGGGTCATTCGGCTCCGGGGCAGGGCCGAGCTCATGGCCAAGGACACGCCCCCAATGGTGCTCCACCCCCAGGCCCTCCCCCACAGGATTGGGGTGTACCTGGACTACGAAGGGGGCCAGGTTTCCTTCTATGATGCCCAGGGCATGGCCCATCTCTATACGTTCAGCACCCGGTTTGCAGAGAGTGTGTATCCCTATTTCTGCCCCGGGCTCTACGATTCGGGGGGGAACGCTACCCCCCTGAAAATCTGCCCCTTGCCCTGAGCCAGCCAGTCCTCTGCCCTGGGGCCAGATCGGAGCCAGCGCCCCCTAAAGGGGAAAGGCCCCATATCCCATTCTCTGTCCCCCTGAGCCAGCCAGTTCTGTGCCCTGGGGGCAGATCGCAGCCAACGCCCCCTAGAGGGGAAAGGCCCCGTGTCCCATTCCCCATCCCCTGAGCCATCCAGTGGCTTTATAAGCACCACCTTACACATCGAAAAAAACTCTCAAACCCATTGTGACGGTGCTGCCCGTGGGAGCCAGCTGAGGTTACTCAATTAGGGTGAACTGCAAATAAAATGGGGCAGACAATCCCCAAACGCTGGTGGATATTTCAATACTTAGATTTACCAACCAGCACAAAACAGCTTCTATAGAACCTCACTGGTTACTCAGAGTCCAAACAACGCAGTTCCCTTAAAGTGCCCAGCGTCCGGCCTCCGTCCAGATACACCTGTCAGATATGATGGTGATTACTGAAAATCTTATCTCATCATATAAAAGACAAGGTTCTTCCAATCCCAAAGGATCAGCCACACACCCAGGTTCAATTACAATTGAGATCTTATCCAAAATACACCCTATAGTCAATTCTTATTAACTAAGCTAAAAATTATTTAAAAAGAAAAGCGAGAGAGTGTTGGTTAAAAGATCAATATACAGACAGACTTGAATTCAATTCTTGAGGTTCAGACACAGCAGAGGTGAGCTTGTAGTTGCCAAAAGTCCTTTTAGAAATAGTCCAGAGGTTATAGTCCAATGTCCATATTCAGGGTGGCTCCAGTCAGTGACTGGGGATCTCAATCCTTGTGGCTTAAGGTTTCCCCCTCTTGAAACCCAAAGCAGACCTGAGATGAAGAAGGATCGTGTCCCAGGGTTCTTATACATTTCCAGCAGCCTTTCGGCCTGAGAAAACAATAGGCTTAATTCTCCTTCCAAACATCCTGGCAATTAGTGCAGGGTCATTTATCCATTAAACAGTTCCAATACAGGTTACCACAACCTTCAAAGAGACATATAGACAATAATACTATTTCACTCAAGTATCATTATAAATGTTAATATTCCTTTTTTGATCTTTGAATTAAAGTTATAGCAATAGACAAGACTTGTTTGCTTATATCACAAGCCCTGAGCAAACATCTCCCCTTGAGATCTCTAACAATGCAGACTTGCATTTAATTTTTAATAAATTAATGGAGATATCCCATCTCCTAGAACTGGAAGGGACCTTGAAAGGTCATAGAGTCCAGCCCCCTGCCTTCACTAGCAGGACCAAGTACTGATTTTGCCCCAAATCCCCAAGTGGCCCCCTCAAGGATTGAACTCACAATGCTGGGTTTAACAGGCCAATGCTCAAACCACTGAGCTATTCCCCTCCCCCTTAGAAATTTCAAACCTCTATTCATTTACAGATCTTCCTAACCAGTCCTTAAGGTTCACCCATGGGTCAGATCAGTCTGAGTTAATTAACTCTTTCTGGCCCTGTCACCTTCCAACAAAATATTATATTACACTCAGAACGTCACACCCATCATCCCCAGCTGTTTGGTCCTCCAAAGCAAGAGGAGCCGAGTGCAAGGCCAGACTGTATCCTGCCAAGCAGGGACTCCGAAAAGGATCTAAAGGTCCAGCTAGTGTGACCCTGGCATGCACAAACAGGGGAATGGCGAGAAGGAGCCGAGGGTTTATTTGGCCCTGGTGCGACCGCGGCTGGGGTCCTGTGTCCAGTTCTGGTGCCCACCACTCGAGAAGGACATGGATTGACTGGAGCAGGGTCGGAGAAGAGCCAGGAGAATGATTAAAGGATTGGACAACCTGCCTTAGAGTGAGAGACTCCCGGAGCTCAAGCTGTTTAGAGGAACAAAGAGAAGGCCACGGGGCGACTAGATCATGGTCTACAAGTACCTCCATGGGGAACAGACGTGATCGTGGGCTCCTCAGCCTAGCAGAGAAAGGTCTGACACGAGCCAATGGCTGGAGGCTGAAGCTAGACCCGTTCAGACGGGAAATATGGTGCAAATTTGTAACAGGGAGGGGAATTCACCATGGGAACAATTTCCCCAGGGCTGTGGTGGATTTTCCATCCCTGGTAAGTTTTCAATCAAGAGTGGATGGGGTCATGGTGGCAGCTTGGCGCTAGGCCCTGGATCATTTGAAACAACGCCGCAGATACGCGCTTGGTCCTCACAGGAGACAGATTTCTATGCTGCTCTATGCTCCATAATCGGTGGGCGGCTGATAAGAGGCGAAGACGTGCTTGTGTTAAAGGTACAGGCGTGGGAGCCAGGACTCCTGGGTTCTGGCTAGAGGTGGTGGGAAATTTTCCAAAGATGGATCATGTTTGTGTAGGGGAAAAATGCCATGGAAACATTCTGATGACATTTTGGGGAGGAGGGAATGGCGGGGAGGGGGGGAGAATCAGATCAGGGCATTTTGATTTTTTTGAATTTTTACGTTCTCAGCCCTACACTATTTAGGCTTGGAAGGATTGGATTTGTATCAATCAATGTCAATTTCACTGTCCACACCCCCAAACTGACCACAAAATCGAAACGGACAGATAATCAAAGAAACATGTGGCTTGTGAACTTTAGAGACGATCGCTAAATAATTGGCTGACACTCCCCGAATTTCCTGCAATTGAGAAAGTTTAAATTGATAAAAAAAAATAAAAAAGGTTCAAAATAAACATCGATATCAGTCCAAATTAGAAATTCCGAATCTAGTTCTCCCAATCCGAATAGTCATAGAATATAAATTTCAGTCAAAATTAAACGTAACTATTACGTGCTATGTAGAATATTTAAATATAATGATATATGTATACTTATACAATGAATATTTCATATACAATATTTCATAGTCTGGCTTTTAAAAAGGTATATAAACAATTGTCTATTTACTATAACTATAGATAATTGTTTATAGGACATAATTTTTGGTAAAGGTTGAAATCGGACGATAACATTTTGATTGACGCAAAGTGATATTTTTCGCCCCGAACGTCATTTTTCAAGAAATTTCACACAAAAATAATTGTTTGGGAATTGAAATATTTTTGAAATGTTGGTGTTTTCTGTTCAATGCAAAAGCTGCTTCTTGCCCAACTTTTGTTCTGTCCGTAGGTGGCGAGCAGTGGGGTCAAGTAGGTTAGAGTCAGGGGAGAGGTGGCTGTGAACTAGGACGCCTGGGTTCTATCCCCAGCTCTGGGAGGGAAGCCGGGGCTAGTGGGGACTGGGAGTCAGAACACCTGGATTCTATCCCCAGCTCTGGGAGGGAAGCAGGGCCTAGTGGGGACTGGGAGTCAGAACACCTGGGTTCTATCCCCAGCTCTGGGAGGGAAGCAGGGCCTAGTGGGGACTGGGAGTCAGAACACCTGGGTTCTATCCCCAGCTCTGGGAGGGAAGCAGGGCCTAGTGGGGACTGGGAGTCAGAACACCTGGGTTCTATCCCTGGCTTTGTCACAGACTCCCCATGTGACCTCTGTGGAGTCACTGAATCAGTTTGGGCCTCAGTTTCCCCATGTGTAAAATGGGGGAATGATCCTGCCTTTGTCTATTTAGACTGTGAGCTTATAGGGGTAGGGGCTGTCTCTTTTCACCTTGGTCCAAATATTTTGTGCAGAAAGATTTCCCAGCGAACTGATTTTTTTTTGCAAGAAAATGTCTACTCTAGCTAAAGCAATTGATTTTTCCATCAAACAAATTCAAAATATTGTGAATCTTTACCAAAAGAAAATACCTCAAAACCCTGAACTGCACTTTGTGTTGATTGAAGTCCTAATGAAAATTGCTTTGAATTGGAAAAAGCAGAAATTTCAGTTAATTCAAAAGACGATTTTCTTTCATTTGTGATCAATAAACATGTTTCCCTTTTTCGTAAAAAGGATGCTAATTACAATGTTCACGTCGTTATAACGAGGAAAAGTCAAATATTTAATTTGATGTAACTAGGATTTAATTTAGTTTCAATAGAAAGTTCAATCATCTCACGTCGTTACAAAAATCATTTCCATTCAATTTCCACGAGAAAAAGTGTTTAAAAAACTTTGTGTCTAAAAAAAACACCACCATTTTCTGGGTGGAACAGTGGAAATGTAAAAATATTTCCTTGTTCTGTCAATATGAACTTTCATCTAGTTTTGATCAGACAACGGCTTAAATATGGCAGGTGGCGTCAAACAATGTCAGTGGGATCGAAATGTGTCCAAAATGGTGATTTGTTTGGTTGGTTCCATCAGGGCAAAGGCTCCTTATGTTACAAAAAAGACCCCAGATCTGTTCGTTTTAATCCGGAATAAAATCAAAACGGACGAGTTGGGGCTAGTTCTGAGTGGGGAAAGTGGAAGCATTTTGTTTCCTACCAACTGTACTTGGAGAATATCACTGCAAGTGGGTTTGTGTCTCTCCCGCCAACCCTCCAGGATTGTCCTGGACTCTACAGGAATTAAAGATTCGTCTTTAATTAAAGATGGTCGTGATGAAACCTCCAGGAATACCGCCAACCAGAATTGGCAACCCTATGGTGTTTGTGTGAACACACCTCCTGGGCCTAGAGGGGCTGGGTGTGTGTATACGGGGTGCAGAGAGGGACTGCAGGTGTGGGTTAGAGGGGGCTATGCGGGTGCATAGGGGGCAGTGCAGGGATGGGGGTGAGCACAGAGGGGCGGGCTGTGCTTCACAGGGGTGGCTGTGGTTATGGGAGGTCTGGGGGGGTTGTAGAGATTGTAGGGGGTGCATGGGGGGCTGTGCATGGGGGGCTGTGTGTAGGGGGCCATATGCATGCATGGGGATGCGGGGGGGGCTCGGGGTGTGGGGCCCAGAGGGCTATGGGGCAGATCGGTGTGGGGGTGCAGGGGGCTTGGGGTGTGGGGCCCAGAGGGCTATGGGGTGGATGGGTGTGGGGGTGCAGGGGACTGTGGGTGTGGGGCCCAGAGGACTATGGGGCGGCTGGGTGTGGGAGGGGGGCTTGGGGTGTGAGGGCTATGGGGCGGGAGCGCTGTGGGCCGGGGAGCCCCTCCCGCTGGGGAAATGCCCCCCGCCCCATCTCCGGGCCTGGCTCCCCGCCCATCGCCCCGGTGTCGGGGCTCTGGCTCCCGGACGCCAGTTCAAACCCCCGCCTAGGAAGTGCGTAACCGGGAGCCGCTTTCACGCCGGGACCTTCCTGTTACCGGCACCCGCCCACCCCCGGCCCTGGGCTCGGCGCCGGCTGGGCCCCAGGGGCCGGATCGGGGCCCCCCAGCGGGGATCCAGTCCCCGCTCCCTGGCGCGGGTGAGTCGGGGCCGCCCGGGATCCAGCCGGGGGCCCCCACCCCGGTCCGGTCCGGGGGCGCACGGGGACAGGGGCCGGTGCCGGGTCCCCCCCAGCCCGGTCCCGGGGCGCACGGGGACAGGGGCCGGTGCCGGGATGGGGTAGTTGAGCCGTTGGATCCCAGCTCGGGGTGACGTGCTTAGCACCCCAGGCTGGGGCTGTTTGCCCCCCCCCCCACTTCCCAGCCCCCCGTTTCTCAGCCCTGGTGCAGATTTCTCCTCTTCTTCCCTCCCCACCTCCTGTGCTGTGTGTCCCCTCCCCAATCCACTGCCCCTCCCCACACCTTGTCCTGGGGAGAGCAGCACTGACCCCTCCCCGTCGTGTGTGTGTGTGTGTGTGTACACACACCATGACCCTCATTCCCTCCAGCAGGAGGCGGCGCTGCTCACG